GATAGTAATGATGGTATAGATTTACCCTGTAACATAAGGGCATGTTTATACATTAGAGATATGAGAAAAAAGAGTAAGATAACAGATACTTTCTCTTTATGATGTGTATATGATTAACCAGAACAGTTGCCGATGGTGGTGACTATCAGTGAAGTAAGCAGACAGCATCCCTTAAAACATCTTGAAGTTACTTTTTTATGCGATTAAAAGGACAGCAGATTATGGTGGGACAATTCTGAAAAATAATGTTGAATTCCACACTTTTGCCACATGATCTTACAGCATCTTCCTCATTGTCCTGTTTTCTGTTACATCTACTTGTGACCTCTTGCCTTATGGGATTGAAGGCTTGGAAAGGGGCAGTGGTTTCCTATCTGATGGTGCAAAGACTAGCACAATGAGCTGATATGAAACTGCTGATTTTTATTTATCAGCTGTTGCGTTCTGATAGAAAGTCAAGTAAAATATTTACAGAATTTTACATACAAAGTTTGTGTTTTGATGAGACAAAACCTGGAACTAACAACAGTGGTTCTATATTCATGAACAATCATTATTTGCATTTCAGAAGATATCAGCGGGTTTTTTCCCCCATTTATTGGAATAATATATAATGCAGAAAAGATGTCTTCCTGCTGGTTTTCCCTCTTCTTAAAGCCATTTTAAACTGCTTTGTTCTCTTAGTGCAGCAAGCTAGGAAATTTTTCAGACGTTAAGGTTTTAATTGATATCTATTTTGTTTATGAGTGCCAGTGCAACAAAATAACGTTTTATGAAAACATTTTATTTAGCTTTTGTGATATGTAATGCCAGGAGAAAAGAAAGGAAAATTTCAGATTATTTAACCACACATACATAAAATAGGTACAAAAGAATGACAGTTTTTAATTTTAAAAAAAAATTAAAAGTTAATAGATTTTAAAAGCTTATTCAGCATTTTCTCGGATAATGACCACAGAAGCATGTGATAGAAGAGGGAAAACCATTTCTGGAAGAAAGTGAAGCATTGTACTTGAAGAACAAGTTTCTTTTCTGAATCTTATTGCCCTGATCTTGTTTTTCTCTGGATATATATAATATTGTGTGCTGATTACTGACAATGTGAGCATCTAATTATATTGCCAAAAGGAAGTGGAAGAGCTACATTTAATCTCCAAACTTACTGAATGTCAATCTTACCAAAAAAAACCCAAAACCCCACACTTTATTTCTAACTGTTATGCCTTAAATGTTTGGAAAAAAAGAAAAGTAGGGAGGAAGAACACTGTAGTTGACATAGTTGGAAGCTTTGACATTGGCTGTTGAGACAGAAAAGTGAACGTAATGACATTTATTACCAATGTGATAAGAAGGAATAGGGTACAGAATTTATTTGGAAAGTGACATTGTAGCACCCTCTTATTCATTTAATAACAGAAATATCATGGATTTTTGCACTTCTTGTTTTCATCCAAAGGGGATAAGACTCTGTACTGCTGTTACAGTCTGCTGCAGAATTTCATGAAGTACTAAGGACAAAGTTTACTGAAAAATGTGCAACCTATTACCGTTCAGCCAACATAGAAAATGAATAACAAAGATGAAGAGTAGGCTTTCAGATGTTATGTTAGCTACTCATAATCAAAGGCTGGGTCTGAGCACAAAAGCATAGAATAGCTATGTAGGGACCATGAAGAGTGATTTTTTTGGAGCTGTAAGTGTGCCTAAAAAAAAAAAGAAATCATCTTTCAAGAAAACATGGCTTCTCCCCTGTTCTGCACTGGGTGGGTGGAGGGGAGAGAGGCACGGTGCAGGGTTCTTTTTGGATGTCATTATAAAAAGCCCAACAACAAATGGTGTAATAAAATAGCTGCTTTAATAAGATAGAATAAAAAGAAGAATATAGATAATGAGTAAATCTTACATCCCTTCAGATGCTGGGCACCCTGTGTTCATGCAGCATCAGCTGAATTCCAGGTGGATTTTCCCATGACATGCTGTGCAGATCCTGTCCATGGAGAGGTTCCCTCTCCCTCCCGTACTGTGGTGGCTTTTATCTTGTGTAACAAACAAAAACGTAGCTTCTGACAGGTTGCAATGTTATCTCTGTCATAACACCTACCAATGTGCAGCGCAAGCTATTATGGGCATTCCAGCATATACCCTTGCAGCAGCTACCCATGCTAACATACAGGCTTCTCAAGCCTTAAGTACAAGGCCCAATGTAGTAGACATAGCCTGCTCAAGGTCACGAACTCCTTGAACATGATGTCTTCTGCAAGGCTCCCAGTACATGTCCTGATATTATTTAATAACTGTATGTTGTCTGAATACCCTTATTTTTGTAAATCAGGGAAATAGGACACAAGACAAAATGGTAGTATTCTGTCTTAAAACCAGAAAATCTATCAATAGATCAATCAATAATTATGTATTTTTACATTTTTAAGTTTATAAACGTGTGAGAATTGAGTATACGATATGGCTGAAGATGTTAATTTTTGCTTAACCAAAAAGGAAAGTAAACAATATGTTCCTTAGCATACTTTCCATCTACAGATGTTGTACTTGTTCCAGCATTGCAGTCTTTATCTCAAGACTGGACATCTTTCTTGAATACAAGTTATAGGACTGATTAAAAAAGTGTGAGGTTTCTTGATCTGTATTAAGTGAGGTGATGGCTGTTATGTATGATTTGAAATTGCACTCTTAAATAATGTCTCATTTTTCTTCAAACAGATTTATTATTTTTAAAATTAATAAGTGTGGGGCTTTTAAAGCCCTCTTTTTATCCCCACTCTTTTTATTCCATCTCATGATTGGAACTTACAGTCAGAGATCTAGTTTAGGAGAATAATCAAATAGTTTAAACATAAGCAGCCAAATGTTATTTAGAAAGAGACATGTTAAATACTCTGTTCATATCTGTCACTGAAATATACAGTAAAGCAAATCCATTTTGTGCTGTCAGCACTGGATATAAATCTAAGAGTCATACTGGTGTTAGCAACGTAGTCACCAAGAAGTTTCATGCAGAGCAGCTGGATGTCCGGAGAACACATACTCAGCCGATGTAGTCAAGACTTCCTTCAAAGCTAGTCTCTTCTGAGAGTAACAACCTGAAATCAGAAGAACAAGTATAAAGGCAGATGATTGAGAAAAAAATTTAAAACATGTTGATTCCATTTTGACCTTACCACCAGTTCAACAGAAGTTCTGCCTCCTGATGTAAAGGTTTACTACTCAGCCTAAGTGACAAGGTGGCACACTCCATTAATCCTGGCTTTTGGCAGTTTATTGGATCCTAACGGTTCAAATATTAAAGGAAAGGCAAGGATGATATTTGAAAATAGTGCACACATAATAGTCCAGAGAATTAAGCTGGTTTAAAGATAATGAAACAGACTGAGCGTGTTTGAAAACTGCACTATGTTCTGTGTTGGGAAAGGGGAACTTTTTTTATTGTAGTATTCAGTATCACTTCACTTCAGCAGTATTACTGCTACTTTCTGCTTATATGGGGATCTCTCATTTGTACACTTCAAAGCACTGAAGATAAAAAGTAATCATCACCTTCATTTTATCAAGGGATAACTGAATGACACAGTTCAAATACTGTGTCTGAGGTCATATAATGAGGTAGCTCTGTTGAGAGAATTTGTGAAGAAAATCAGGAGACAAAAAATAGTAGAGGAGAGGGAGAGAAAAAACAAAAGCCTAGTAGCTCTGTAATCCAAAGCCTCTGAATCACAAGCTTATCAGAAAGTCGATTGACACTTTTTCCAAGGACCCTTCCACATATTTGGGGCTCTGTATATTCTTTCAGAGCACAAGAACGAGAGAAATGCTGCACTGCATGAGGCAAAAAGCCCATATTAGTCCTGTCTTCAGCAGTGCCCAGTAAAAGATGCTTGGGAAAATCATAGTATCTGAGACTTTTCTGGAGTCATAGTTTTTTCCTCTTTCTACTTTCAATGTTGAGCAGTCAGCAGTTAAGGGACTTCTGTGTACCAACATAATTTTTAGTAATGTGTCTTCCATTACTTTTTCCAAACTTTTTTTTAAAGCACATTAATGTTTTTAGCTTTTGCAACACTGTGTTTCAATGAATATCACAATTTCATTATGTTTATGTGTGACATATATGTGTTCTCTGCGTTATATTCCTTTCCTTTAAATTTTTCTCTATTTCTTAAGGTCATTACTTTACAAAATGCTTTGGTTTTCAGTGATCGTGTTTTAAACAATTTATTCCATGGCATGCTGAGGTCTAAATATTTAAAATTTGCAAAATTATATTTGCTTTCTTTTTATGCTCCCCAGGCAGAAAAAGCAGTATTAGGATAATTAGTTTTCATTGATCTCAAAGGTCTAAAATCCAATTGTAAACAAGATGGCCAAATACAACTTACGTTTTCATGGAAAAAACAACTTAGTTGGTTACCATGCCATCTTACAGTTCCCATCTTGGTCTTCCAAAGATACTGGCAAAATTTATACAGCACGACAACTTTGGTAGCATGGCTGTGTTACAGCAATACAGAAGAATATTTTGTATGCATTTTGAGTTTGCATGTTTCTCTCATAACTATGTCCTGAAATAAGTCTCTTCAAAGTCCAGTGCTTAAAGGAAATTACGAAAATTGCATCACCTGTAATTAATATACATAATTTATGTGTATGCAAACTCCATGTGCTTTCTGTAATGGATTGTGAAACACACTATTGATAAAGGCTGATGGAGTTAAGTTGGCTGGGGCGGGGGATGTGTGTGTAACAGTGGGTGATGGGGTTTACCCTAATCCCAATAACTATGATGGCTAATCACAGTTTGTCATGTGACATAGAAATCTTTATTTAATCTTATTGTTAATTCATTGTTTCCATTGATTTACCTGTAGAAGTATTTTAGTGAATCAGAGGTTAAAGCATCATAATTATTTCAGAATTGATATATCATTTCATGTTTTTTTTCTTGTTCATTTGTGTTTTCTGTTCTTTCTCTCTCTTACATGCTGCAGTTGCAAACATATTGTGGCGAGAGCAAGGTACTAATACAGATGGCTTTTTTCATATTTTCTATATTACGATGAAATGCTCATCTATTGTTCCTTTTGTGTGTTTGATTTGGATTTTTTTGTTTATACTCTATAGTTACAGTAATTACCTTCCCCCTTGCAACGTTTGAGGGATTTGATTTAAAGAAGAAATATAATGGAAAATAATCCTTTAAATGCTCATGCTTTTGTGAACTGCTTTTCCTTTTGGGGAGAGAGAAGGAAATAAGCTGTTCAAAAATTTCAGACAATTACTCAAAGGGATACCACAAGAAGCTCAGATTTAAAAAGTAGACCTTTAACTTTTGTTTGTTTGCTGGCATGATAAAGCTTCCTACCAATCAGCCTATATGCTGTTGGGATTGATCTTCCTGTATGAATCATTCTTATTTGACAAAATTATAATCTTAAACAGTTTAATTAAAATTGAGATACTTGTTGCTGCTTAATGAGACAAAGCATTTTCTTCTTATGCTCAGGAAGGGTTTGTAAATGTTGGGAGGGGGAATGGCGGTTTGTGGTTTGTGACCGACTGAAGGATAAATATAAATACAGACAGTATCAGGTGTTAATAACATAGAAAGCATGGAAAGTCTATTTTACTGACAAAGATAGATACTAATTTTGATATATATATGAGATAATCTCATAAAGCATATTGCAGAAAGATACCATAATCGAAGCATTGTCATGAGCTCTCATTTCATTGCTCTAAGTAGCCTGTTCTTAATTTAAAGTTGCAATTTAGGAATTAATGTATTTCAGGAATAGGAAATGTTTCAATTATTTCCATTGGAAGATTGATAATATTGTAAGTGGATTTGCTATGAATTCATGCTGCAAATGGTATTTCTGCATGTTTCTTAAAGATTTATTTTAAATTAATTTAAAGATTCAAAAATTTGATCTTTCATTTGCCAAATTACATTGTAACCTTTGGCATTTCCCAGTGTGTTTACAAATATGAACTAGTTTTATTTTTTATATTCCTGTTTTACCGGTTGCTCAGCTGGTGTAAACAATCAGTTCCCTGGTTATAGTGGAGCTCAGCTGTGATCCTCCTCCTCTATTGGCCTTGCAGAGTACAAATGACGTGTTCAGTGTTTCATACAATTCCACTGTTAACAATTAAACTGATGCACAACACGATTCTAACACCAAGTTTTCAAATGTCTGGTATTCTCAACACTTATTGGGAAGGTATCACTTGTGTTTTATCTTGAATAAAAATGAAAACATTATTGGCACTCCTTTGATTTTTTAAAGGATTGTCTAAAGTCAAGTCCTGTGTTGTTTTCAGTGGTTAGAAAGCACTTAGGAAAACTTAAATTCTGTGACAATAAAGACCAATTAAATATAGTAGCTTACCAGAGTGCTTATGGTAAAGACATTCAAATTGCCCTGTGGCTATTGTGAAACTAAACAGAAAGCAATTTATAGTAGAGACTGAGAATGTGAAGTTACAATATCATCTTCTAGAGCAGATTTTCTCCATCTCTTCTGTGTTTCTCAGTGGCCAATCCTTGTTTCCAACAAATATTATTGCTGGTTGCAATGTCAGAATTAATTTACAAGAGAGCAATATCCAGAAGATGCCAAAAAATATCACCACTAACTTCTCTGTGCCATGCATACTCTGTCATTTTCTGTTATCTACGTATTAACAGCTAGGAAGGGAGGGATGGTTGATTAGTAGGACAATTAAGATCATGAAACCATAGATAGGCTTTAGTGCCTGCAATGCCTATTTGTATATGTGGTACACAAAAGCCTTATCACAACTGCTTGCTTGTGTAAAAAGTATGTGTGTCATAAAATCTGAAAGGATTTTGAAGGAACATTAATTTGTACTACAATAATAATACAATATATACACATGCATAAATATATCCATATATTAATCTATATGCAAAGGAACCCAAAAACCACCACCATTTTTTTTCAAATAAGTGTTAGCCAGTTTTAAATACAGATTCAGTCTAAATGAAGCAAATATATTTGCATTTATTGTTGCTGCTTCTGTGTTATAAATGTGCTGGGTTGGTTTTAGTTTGGTGGGGGGAGGGTTGCAAAATTAGGTCAGATGTCTTTAGAGGAGTAGCTCCTGTAGTTGTGAAGAAGTGGCTTGCCTAAGTGCTTAGATATTTGTATAGGTTAGATATTTGTACAGATATTTGTAGACACATGCTCAAAGGAAGAGTTTTGGGGTCATAATAACTTGGAAGGGGGGGATATAGAACACCCAAACAGGATGAAGAGGCAGACGAAATATTCTATAAGCAGCTGGGATAAGTCTTACAATTACTAGCCCTTGTTCTCATGGGGGACTGCAACTTACCAGGTGTCTGCTGGAAATACAATACAGCAGAGAGGAAACAGTCGAGGAGGTTCCTGGAGTGTGTGGAAGATAACTTCCTGACACAGGTGGTGAGTGAGCCTACTAGGAAAGGCGCCCCACTGGACCTGTTGTTTGCTAACAGAGAAGGACTTGTGGGTGATGTGATGGTTGGAGGCCGTCTTGGGCATAGTGATCACAAAATGATAAGAGTTTTCGATTCTTGGAGAAGTAAGGAGGAGGGTCAGCAGAACTGCTACCTTGGACTTCTGGAGGGCAGACTTTGGCCTGTTTACAAGACTGGTTGACGGAGTCCCTTGAGAGACAGTCCTGAAGGGCAAAGGGGTCCAGGAAGGCTGGACATTCTTCGAGAAGGAAATCTTAAAGGTGCAGGAGCGGGCCATCCCCATGTGCTGAAAGACAAGCTGGCGGGGAAGAAGACCAACCTGGCTGAACAGAGAGCTTTGGTGGGAACTCAGGAATTTACATTTATAACCTTGGAAGAAAGGGCAGGCAACTCAGGAGGACTACAAGGATGTTGTGAGGTTATACAGGGAGAAAATTAGAAGGACCAAAGCCCAACTAGAACTTAATCTGGCTACTGCCGTAAAAGACAACAAAAAATGTCTCTATAAATACATTAGCAACAAAAGGAGGGCTAAGGAGAATCTCCATCCTTTATTGGATGCGGGGGGAAACACAGCGGCAAAGGATGAGGAAAAGGCTGAGGTACTTAATGCCTTCTTTGCCTCAGTCTTTAATAGTCAGAGCAGTTGT